GGAAAATTTAAGGAGTTATTATTATGTACGTTTAGATGATACAACCGGTAGGATACTTTTGCACGTTACTGTAAGAGTTTAAGTGGCATTTCGGATGAATACAAGGAAAGAAATGTGGAACGATTGCTTTAAAATATGACAAATTTTATCGTTGACGAGTATGACGATGACCCGACATTTTCGGTTTGACTTTTTATTTGAATGACAATTTTTGCTAATTTAATATTTATACAGTGTGCGACAAAAAGTTTGACTATTGCAGGAAAATTAAACAATAATTAAACTTCGTAATTTTAGCTCAATCCGATATATTTGACCAGCGCATTCTAAATAAATAAAGCACGACCAAATTTATGCAAACTAAGCTGTCAAAATGGCGAGCGATCTTTATCACATTATTTGAATGAATGTGTCAGAGCTAGCAAAGCCACAAGCTACCACGTTAAAGCAGAGGATTTAGAGAATTCTATTCCAGAATCCGGTTTGATAATTTCGTAAATTAGTTGCGACGTCGTTTTTTTTTTTTGTGCTACTATACGTATAGTTATTTTTTTGTAGTAGTTATATCTATTATGGATACTACTTTAGCATGACAAGAATAATAAAGAGGTATTAGCCTATAACGAATAATGTGCAATGTAACCCACGCGTTGAGAACAAGATTTGTTTACACTTGAAAATCAAACTATGTCGTTAGCATCAGGGACTGTTAATAATCCAGTAATTGATAACTTAGTTCAATCCTGTTACTTGAATGAATTTCTTGTTCGGAAATTACCGACACAAAACCAGCTTAAATTGACAACATCTATTATGCTATTCGCAAGCATGTTGATTACAGAGTTTATGAAGACAAGATAATGTTGCAATTAGTTCGAAGCAATAAAATATGTGCACCAACACTAGTGAGTGAGTTTGCTAGAATATACTCACTTCCAACAACAAGTATAATAATAGCGACAACTTTAGAAGATATTCTACATGGCTTAAGGAGCGGAACAACTTGATAAAAGGTTTTTGCTAAATATGAAAACAACTATTACATGGTTGCTCATAAGCTCTTTTACCATTGTTATTCTCGATATGAATTCTGCACTGCATGTGAAATACTCCGATGTAGTCCGTGTGTGCATTTGCGGGCATAAACAATTATCCGATGGATGGACTAGCAACTATAAGTAACTCGATGAGTTTATTAAGAAATCTCAATTACAACCAAACTCAGCAATTATTGCATTGGTGTTGGGAGAAATAGATGGATGTGTATGGTCTACTTACTACTGATACATTTGCTAAATTAATTTCGACTGAATAACGGATAAGACGGATGATTCATATTACGACAAGGTGACTATCAAGTAAGAACATAATGAATTTATCCGTTATTTGAGATAAATATTACCTTATTGTCCTTCTATAAAGGACAAACTCGTCTACGAAAGATACAACTACAACCAAATCATCAGTCGCAAAACGTGCACAGGAATTACACAAAGAAAAATTCCACGAAAAAAAGGTCATAGAAGAGATATCAACAGGAAGTATTGCTGTATCTATAATGAAGAAACAACAAGCAGGCGAAAAAATTGGTTGCCGATCTTTCCTCAGCACTTAATATGTGTCAATCTTTGATGCAGTTTTATAGACCATCTATGCTTACATACATAATGTATTAATTAATCAACATATCTACACTTGATCCATTTAAAAACCCTTCCTCTTCCTCTTTTCCTTCTCTCCCTTTTCTCTCCTTTTCCTTTCTTCTCCATCTCACTTTCGCATTATATCTCTCGCAATCGACTATTATATAATAAGCTGTTATCCCGCTGCTCGCACGTAAACTTTATGACTTTCCGCATTCTTACCAGTGGCATTAATAATGTGTTAGAAGATGATATGGGTAGGTGTAAGGTGGTGATTGGAGTCGTGATTGGGGTCGAAATTGAGTTTCGTGTGGGACAAATATTTATAGATGCTCTCTACCCCTGTGGGTTTTTTTTCATGTAATATTAAAGTTTTTTGAATTCAGTAGCACGGCGAATGAAGGTCACTGTCTCCGTAAATTCCTTGCCGATATCATCATAGAAGCTTAGTATGCGAAATGGGGATGATCCATTTTGCGTGCGAATACACATCTCTCATAATCAAATAATAATGGTACGTAAATACAATATTTACGACTTTCGTTCGATGATATAATAGCTATATATTCACCTTTCGCTTTTAAATTTAAATACAATGTTTAAGCGTTCATAATAATAATAATTTACGGAAATGATTATCATCCAATTAAATCGGAAACCGGTATGTGTAAGTCGACAAATAATAAATAATAATAAAGAAATTCTATCCGTAAAATGTTGATTATCTACACCATATAAATTATCATCAACGTTAATTAATGTTAAAATATGTTAGCGAAGAATCAAACAACAATCATAAACAATCAAACTAACCTCATAGTATAAGTTCGTCGTGAATGATCAGAATAACATATCCGTCTATAATTCGACAAAATTTACATATACGGTATGTTATAATATAGTAGTCGTTTAATCATGCTTAATATTTACAATATGAGAGGACGTAACTTTTAATATTATTTACATACATAATTTAAAGAGCATACTCCTTGATGTGTGCCAAATAATATATCATTTCTTCGATAAAGCAAATTAGTAAAAAAACCAAATACCATGGTCTTTTCGCTACTTAATGTATCTAATTTAATTCAAACGAACACATTATGGATTTTTCTGCAAATTCCCCCTCTACTTTTTACCATTCGACAATTCCTTACAATTAACGTTCCGTCTTCAACGTGGAAATAAATACGCATCTGTTTAATAACATTGTTGTTCATTCCGAATATTGGCGACCTTCCCCATTACTTGACAACTTTCTTCAAAGATTGCACGACATTGAATATGGTCAATATCCATGCATTCCTTGCTCATACTATTATTTCCCAGGAATGTAAAATGGATTAATTTCGATATCAACGAAGCATACCCTTTGAGAATTGCTTTTCCGAACATTTCTCTTACTACCAACCCTCGTAACCCAGCCAAGACAGCTCATGCAAATCCACACCTAGTCATCATTTTTACCAACTCCTCACATCTATTCCCCAATGCGTATACCTTTGGTAAACGAAAGTATGTACTTGCATTCTAGCTTAGGTCGATCAGCGAATGCAACGAATATCGTACTATTGCAGGCACTATGTCTTACTCACGCAATTATCGAGCTCTTTCTCTATATTCTGGTATGCTGGGAGCTTTTTTTACTGAAACAGATTCCAATAATAATGCAGATAGTCGCTCGTATTATCCGTCACTAGAAAGTGCGCGTACTTGCTACAGCAAAATAATCCATATTACGCGCGTATTTTTAGCATCACAACTCCTGCAAAACAATGCTTTACCCGCATCTTTCATATTCCCACTGTATGAACAGGAGACATAGTCGATGAAATACACGACGCGGATGCACATTACTCCCGTTTAGCTGCAGGCTTCCCCTTACTCAAGACAATAGGTCAATACTCATATCAACGAATAATCCTGAAATAGAAGCTCTTATTTTTCCTGACGGAAAAGGTTACTATACAAACCATAAAAAAGTTTCTGCTTCTGTAAATTTTAACATATGGGAAATATATAAAAAGCGAGACTGCAAGGATGTGACCCTCGTTTCAGACTTCATCATGCATGGATAGCATGAAGTTATTTACGATTAGAAAAGATACGTAATTATCAAAACACAGCCGTTTCAACGTCAGCGACATGCAGATTCTAATACATGTTACACTATCACTGATTTACTATGAAGTCAACATACAAATAATTTAATAATCGATAAAGACAAAACAACGCCATTACCAACTTTTATCATGACGGGAGATTCGTATTTTCGTGAAAAAAAAACTACATGTTATGATAACAGCTAAAGGGCTTCCCCAACTGTTTATAACACTGTCAATGGCAGAAACACGTTGGCCCCATCTGAGTAACTGATAATAAACCTACAAATAAGCCCTATCATGTAACTATGTTTTACATCCAACGTATTCGTTCAATCAAAAATATTTATGGAATAATGCAAGTGTATCAGGATGGGGTACTATAAAAGACTTTTTTGAATAAACAGAATTTCAAAACAGAGGCGCTGCCCATTTACACACAGTTTTTGGTGTGAAGCTACAATTGAACAAATGATTACATTCAGATTCGTGGTGATATGTTAAAGTACAAACATACCAATTCACCGTTGTGATACCTTGACGAAACATCTCTACGTTATGTTTATAAAGCAATAACAGAAGAAGATCGTTGGATCGTCCCATACCATGCTCCGACATTACTTGCATGGGATGCCCATTCAAATGATCAGTATGTTACAAGAAAAGGTTTTGCATGACGAAATACATATCCAAGACACTCATTTATATAACGTTCGAGAGGGCGACAGATTTCATGAACACACAGGCGAAACAATATGTAATTCTTCAGCTACAGTAATTTTTCTTCCTACAGATCCTCCTTCACTTCGCTTTAAGGCAATTCTTCCTATACAAGCACTTTTGCAAAATCCCGGCAGTCCGTATTATCCTGATGCTTTAGAGAAATACTTTCAACGACCTCGCGGACAAGAATTTGATAATATTTTTTACGAAGAATATTACCAAAAATACAACATTTGTGTCCACCAAATACACGACCTCCGAATAACTCAACAAGAGATTTAGATGGAAGCGAATTTTCACGCGAAAACATTATGCTAAAATTGCTTATAATCGTTTGCTCCAGATCCGTGCATGGAGATCCGAAGACGAAATCTGAGGATACAGTACATGCAGAGAACGTTATCTTTCAATGTCTCTTAATGAAAGACAAACGCTGAGAGAATAAACCCAATATTATATAACACATATACGTTCACAACTAACTTCACAATAATAAACTCCTTGATTATTTTCTTACAACAACAACAGCTTTTATTATCACATATAAAGAATTTACGTCATCAATTACAACGACTACCTCCAATTACACCACCTTTTTGAAATAACCGATATACCTGAAGACCAATATCGCACCATAAACATTCTCAAAAATCGATTCGGCAACAAACGCAATCAATGGTCGTAATTTAGCGGAAAAGGATATTTTCGCAATTCAGATGAAGATTTTATCACCCCACTCCATGGACCGTCACCACAATATTCCAACAAAATGACGACATATATATTCGGCGCAGTAACAGGACTCAACAATACTCTCTCGGTAAACTATATATTATCCATAATTCCTAATATCAACAATCACTAATTAGCTTTCCCTCTCCATTAACACAATAGTTGCAAATATTATCCCAACTCTCAACTAATGAGATATGGTTGCGCGCTCTTGGAAGTATCGTTACCAACCCTTACTCAAGTAACAACACAACCGTTTTTGAAGTCTCGGCAACCCAATGTCAACAGCACCAGTTCCCAATTCAAACAAACAATTACGGTCCATCAGTCACATCGCCGGTGCCTGCAAAGCAAGAACATCGAAAGCGCGAATGGGAGCGAAATATGCGGTGAATTAGACGTAATGGATGATAAACATTATATTCGAATACGAATCACTAACAAACTCCATTGAGCCAAGAACAAATATTCCTTCCACCACTATTTCCCCCATCAAAATCAGTTGACAAAGGAAACAGTAAACGCACCTTCCGTAAACGCACCTTCCCACATTGGATTCTACAAAAACGAAAAGCCAATGAAATTACAACGCAACATTATCCAAATGACAACATAAATGAAAGTCAATCATTCGAGTTTACTACTAACAACAAACAGTCGACAAACTCAATAGCAGAACTGTCAACTTTTACACTTATCATCCCAAAATATACCAAACAATACCTTTGTAAAAAAGACACAAATAATTAAATAATTATTATTATTAATCAAGCTTATAATTATAAGTATCAATTAGTCACAATACCACAGATTACGAATAAAATCAGCAACAAATAATACAGATTATACAATAAAACACTTTCTGCTCTTACAAAAAACCAACAAGTTAGCATTAGCAATGAAATTTACCAACCATAGGACTTGAATTATACCACTTTATTACTTTATCATCTGACCATAACATACTAAATACGCAATCTATATTATTAAACAAAACAAATAAAAAACACAGCCACATATTTATATGTTATAACATTACGATACCAAATCCAAACCACAGTCAATACGGAGAGGCCACTTGCCACCATCCTAGTTCAAATAAAAGATCGAAAACAGTTCCGGCTCTAAACGTTCGGAAAATAGAATTAAAAGTGTATCAAATTATAGAATGCACAGAGTATGTGGTATTACAATATCAAATACTATTACAAATGCAGCCCCCTGTTGTGCGATGCAATTATATTGGACGGGACTTGCAATTGTGTTTTTTTAACGCCGAGATCTGTTTGTAATAGCTTCAAAAACTACAGAAGGATTTTAATGTAATATTGTGGTATTCATGGTCAAACTTTTTCGTAACTTTGCTAAATGATGAATAAAGGGAAACAACCCCATCTTTTTTAGTAGATAGCAATAGATGTACAGTGCTGGACAAAAGTAATGGCGGTGGGTACGCGACTTTGTTTTTTGTTGATAGCATCACCGTGTCGCGTTTTG